AATCAAACGTTTTTGATACTAGATTAACTTCTAAAGTATAATTTTTTTTGTTTCTATATTTTTCAATATATTTATTTTGTTTGTAAAAAATAAAGAAATAATTTTTAACAACACAATAGCCACAATTATTATTTTAAAAAGTTTACGTTAGGCTTAACATCGACGAAAATTCAATGCAAAATGACATGCAACGGAGAAAAATTTTAACATGGGATAGGCTAATATATTTTTTCATACATAATCAGTTATCCGAAAAATAAGTTATCCGAACAACCCCAGTCCCCAATTGATTCGGATAAACGACGCTCTACTGTAGTAACAAAGTAAGCAATACACCAATAACAAATTTGCAAATGTTTAAATAGTGACAACAAGGATCTAAAGTTTAAAACCTTAAGTGAATAAAAATTTTAATTGTTTTCTTTACTGAATTTTTATATCCTCTTGTCAAGACAATTATAATCAAATATATATGAATGTATTCAAGTCACACATTTGATCTGTTTAATATATTTTACAAAACTGTTATCAAAATAATATCTAGCTGACGAATATTGAATTGTGAGGCCACGTTTCTTAAGAGTTTTTAAAAGTGAGCAGATTTTAGTAAAAGCTCTGTTTTCTTTCTTTATAAGTTCTGCAATGGGCATAATATAAGGCCTATGTACTGTACCTAATAAACGTTTCTTGCAAAGAAAAAGTGTTGCCTTTCACTGCCACCCAAAAAGTGAAAAGAAACATCAAGTAAAAACAAAAAAATGAGGAATTTTATTGATGTCAAATCATTATATAAATGATTATATAACTTGAATAACATTAAAGATGTTTTTATTCATCTCTAATTATAATGAACTGTCAAGAATGAGGTTGGAAGATTACTGATTATCATAAAATTTCAATGTAAACTGTACAACTCAATAGAACTCAAACACAATGCCACTGAAACAAATGAAGACATGTAAAAGTAGGAAGTAGGGAATGCCATTCCATTCCATTCTTAGCTAAAGTAACTCTTAAAATTTTATAAATTCACATCAAATAAATTTGTAATACTAGGATTATTTGATTTAGATCATGTTCTTTAGCAGCTTTTACAATATTTGTAATAACATGAATTTGGATATCAGGGCATGGCTGTATATAATTATTTTAATTCAATATTTGTTTGATTAAAAAAAGCAATTTTTATTTATCCAAAAAAATTGCTAAAGTTATATGCAGCCTTTATCCCAAAAGTTTCCAGACTGAGTGATTTTCTCAGGAATTGTTTGAAGCAGCACACTCCTTTAGACCATACCATATTTTACAAGGCTTCACAGACATACAAAGAAGTTGAACATGTTCAGATTTGCACTGATCTGGAAACTGCCAATGATAACCCCATGCTATTACACTACAATAATGGGCTGCATTTCTTTATGCAGCGCTCAAGAAGTGCTTTACAGCAAACACTCTGAAACCAGTTTCTAAATGCAGTGCTGCAATAAAGTGAACCATTTCTAAACTTTTGTTGCAAGAGGTTGCTGCAGCGAAGATAAAGCAGCTTTTAGGTCCACTACACATGTAAAGCAAAATGGACACTTGTATGTATAACATGATATTATACTGTAAAAATAAAAGTCGAAGTGACTGTTGATAAAAATATTATGGAAAGATTGAGGAGGATTAAATTTTACAAAATGACTGAAAATTATCTAAAGAATAAGAAAATATTAGAAGAAATATAATTATATTTAAAATATATCTCTTTACTTCTACATTTATGGAAAGATAAATGCTCAATTCTTTGTATCTCTCTATTTAAATATCATAGTTCTTTAACTAAAGCACTACTTTCGGCTGTAACTAAAATTAAAGGATAGATTATGAGTCCATGTTTCGCTCGAGTGGAAAGCGTTTCTAAACTATGATACAGCGACGTGTACTGATAGCTGCTCATGATGTCATTTTCACTACACTCTCCTTATGCAGCCATAAAAAAATGCAGCCTGATTATTCACATGCATTTTAAAAAGTGTAATAATAGATAAATTGTACAACAGAATGAATAATGAGTGAATAAATAATCAGTAGAAAAGCTAAGAAGTCATTAATATCCAGTAAATAAGACTTGATAAGTTGAGTTAAATTTTTCACATATTTTTCTTATTGGTTTATTCTAAAAAATTTTTAATTAAAAATTTAAAACACAAAGTAAAAGACAAAAAAAAAAGTATTATTTATTTGTCATGCATTCATACACAAAACAGGAAATGCTAAGAATGGCAACTCTGATCTTTGCTTTAATGTTATACAGTAAAAGCTAGAATTATAAAGAACTGTTCAAAGATTCCATCTTTGGTAAGCTGGAAAAAAATGGTCACTGCCTCAAAATGTGAACATTTTTATGAAGTTTTAATGTAAACATAGTATTTGCTATGTTTATTGGACTTAACTCAAAATAAAAGGAAAATGACAAAGAAACTAAAATTCAAACAATACATACATACATACATACATACATANCTTGTACTGGACAATATATAACTAATTTACATACAACTATAATATATATGCTAACATAAGTATAATTAATTATTTATAATGATTGATTTGATTAACAGAATTAAAAATAGATCATATAGTTGCAGGAATTCAAACATTATTCAAAGATATAAGTATGTACAAATAAGAATAAATTATATTCTTATCTATACTATAATAAATTATTTAGAATTTTAGTTAAATACCTATAAAATATTGAAACTTTCTTCATTGCTGATGTAACTGCATAAACTTCATCTTCATCAACTTCTTCTCCCTAAAATTAATAATGCAAGATGTTAAATGTAAAATCAAACTCATTAATATGATTATGAAAAAATGTTAATAAATCTTTTACATTTTATCAATTATGTTAATAACCAACAAAATTTTTTATTTAAGTTAACACCAAAGATTAAACTAAACTTATCATTAATAAATACATAAACTTGTCATCTCTCTATATAATGCAGTCAGTAATTAGTGACATGTTTTTATTTTTAATACTTGTCTTTATCTAAAATTATTATTATTATTATTATTATTATTAAGTGCTCCACTCCAAAAAGCATAATATACTAAAATACAAAAAAGGCAAATAACAGGATTTGTTCATCCACCACCCAAAGTGACAAGACTGGTAGGTGTTGGGTCCCCAGGAAGAAAGACTTAGAAATTACAAAAAGTTTCTTCTTCCATATTGCATTTTCATAATGGTAAAATAGTTCAAACAGTGGCTTCTGAGAGTTTACTGAATGGACATGACCACCTGATACAAAAAACTGAGGATTTCTAATTTCAAAATAAATCTGTCTTGCTTAATGTATAGGATTGTAATAAATCATACGTTCAACCATATAAGATTATCAGTAACACAAAAGCAAAAGGCAGTATCTGCACAGTTATACATTGCCAGGTAGTGACTAAAATTACCATGTAAGTAGTTGTAATTACCAGTAAGTAGTTGAGCAATAGTGTAAGGTAAATTTCTAAATGGTGATGATAATCTGCATTCAATACTAGGAAAGTAAAGTTTTGTTATACTTCCAGTCTTTCTGCTCAACCATTGATAATTCCACTTAAAAGTTTTATTTTTAATGATATTATTAAAACTTTATTCCTTGTTAGAGGGATGTGAGCCAAGTCCAAATCAGTATTCTTCACAGCATCTTTCTGATTTCAAAGTATAATGTATTGATACAGGGTATCTCAGTTAAACGTTTCAGAACTTCTAAGAGGGGTAGGGTGCATCTCGACAACTCAGATTCATATAGCAATGCAGGGTCGGAAATGCTTTCATGAAGCAGTAGCTGGCATTAGTGCGAAAGTTCTGAGTGTTCTTATAGGGAATCGTCATTTCGCACAAGGATGCAGATTTAGCTGATATGCATTTGGTGTACAGGGCTGCAGATTGTAGTGGACCAGCCACACAGTGCTTGTATGCGAAATGTTATCCAATGAGGCATATTCCCAGCCATAATTTCTTTGCAAGCCTGCACCAGAGGTTAGCTGTTTCTGTGTACATCACCGCTTCAGGAAAGCATTTCCAACCCTGCATTGCTATGTAATTCTGAGTCATTGGGATGCACCCTACCCCCTCTTAGAAGTTCTGAAATGTTTAATTGTATATACAGGCTGTCTCAGTTAGACATTTATGATTTTATGACAATTAATCATTACTAATAGATATATTTTGCTTTTACATTAAAACTCAAACAATAATATGAAATTTTAATATTGAATATAATGAATTTTCAGATATGATTCTGAAAAGGTACTGACTTTGATAAATTTTGGAAATATAAGAAACATCCTGTTTTATATACTGAATAAAGGAATAAGTATAAAAAAAAAAACATCATACACAACTAATCTGAATTTATGATATGTGATCTATATTCTGCCAATCATATACAATACAAATCTGTCATCACATTCCAACAAACCATAAATGTCACCATTATTTTTCTCTCACTGCAAAAATTTAATCAAAAATTTCAAGTACTTACAGACATTTTGATTTAAAAGGTTGTCACAATCTGTATATTCTTATAGTATTAATAGTTATTAAATATTTTCATAATTACTTTCATGTTTATAGTTGTTTGAGATGAAAATGAGTCTTAGTTCAGATGATATTGGTAGTGCATCTGATTCCATAACAATGTGAGATTCTATTTTGTCTTTTAAAATTTGCTTTCTTATTTTCTTACANCTCTATGAATCATCAGATGATGGTAATATAATTGCACTAAGTGGAAAGCCAGCATCAGGAACAAAACAGTCTTTACAAGTGGGTCAACCTTTTATTTCAAGTTACTTGTCTGCCTCATTACATAAAAATGTTTTAAAACATTTTTACATAACAAGCCATTTTTACATAAAAATTAGTTAGTACACTGTTAATACATTAATTAATGTAATGTATTAATTGAAATATCTTTTAAAATGTAAAAATTATGAAGATTTATACTTACACAACTTTTTTATCTTGTTTCATAAGCTTATTAGTAAACTCGCATAAAATTTCTAAGAAAGCTAAATTTGGAGGCGGCCCAAGTGGATCCACAACATTTTCAAAAGGAGTCACTGCAAACAAAATACCTTCTCGATGAAGAGCAGCAACAGAATCTCTATTTTTTACTTGATCTAATCCAAATGACAATGCAAATCTCTTTGCAAGTTCCTAATAAATATAAATTATTAAAAATAATTTTTTCCTCTGTCCAAGAATAGATAATTTATTTAAAAAAAGAACAGAAATTACAGACCTTAATTGCTGTAAAATTCTCATCCTGTCGATTAATCAAGCCTGTATTTTGTTCAGTACGAAGTTCTGTGAATAAGGTTGTCAACGACACAGCCATAGTACGTGCACAGTTAACTTTATTAATTTCTCGAGCTTTTCCTAACGTTGCCTTGATAATGTCTCCATAGTCATTATAAAACTGTCATAAAGACATGAAAATAGTTTATTAAAATCAGTACATAGTAAATAATATATTTAATAAAAATATAAAAACTATCAAGTTTTTTCATAATTTTATAAATCATCATCCAAATATTTGTTACATGATAATAAAAACAAACACTGTACTTTAAATTCCTTGATTGTAAATTATAAAATGTTCTATCAAAACATTTAAGATCCAGAATAAAAAAAAAAAGCTAATTTAAGAAATAAATTTTGTTATATGGTATTAGTACCAAAGTGTTACTTAAAACAATATATAAATTAAAATTTTCTCAGTTATTTGATGACTAAATATTTTATTATTTTTCATAAAATGGAAAATTTGTTAACAAAATGGAATTTATTTAAAGTAAGATAGTTAAATTATTTGCAATAATTTTGTTTTTATTGTTATTTTTTGAGATATGACTTTTTTGTAAATTTTTTATAACTTAGCCAGTATAAGATTCTTTGCTGAAGGTAGTCACAATAAAAGAAATTCTCAAATATGTAAAAAAAAAATTTTAAACTGTTCCATCAATCATCAGATCAAAAATCCACTCTGTATACAGGGTGTACCTAAATGAATGTCCTGATTAGAAGTTCTTGTAGTCAAATCCCAAAAGATGTAATAAAGACATGGGATGATATAAGATAAGCATCTCTCAATCAGGTGCATGAAATTTCTTAACACATGATTACCAAAGAAATGAATTGGTCATTTGGAAAACAGCAATCAACAACTCTTATCCTGGCCTCTACAATCCCCCAACTTCATACTTGTGGAGATATATGTAAAGGATTCTCTGTTTGTGCCACCACTGCAGACAAATCTGGAAGATCTGCAGGTCCATATCACCAACAATTAACTGCACTGCTGAGATAATGTCTGTAAGGTAACAAGAGGGGCTCATAGGATATGTGAGAAACTTTGAGTGTGTCTCCATATCTGACCTATGTTCAATACACTGTAGGTAACACTTTTTTGAAAACTGGAGACATCATTTAGGTATACCCTGTATAAAATACTTTGTTGTGATTTTAATCTTTTTTTTTTTTATCATAAAACTTTTGAATGAATAAGTGGTGCCCAGTATACAAAGTGTCTCCTAAAAAGCAATCAAAAAGAATGCAAGCTAAAAGCTTAAAGAACTGTCATATTTATGTAAATGACACTTGCTTTCATACATTATTGAGCATGAACTATGCAATGGTGCATCAGTAAATTTTTATCCCCAGAATGGGAAGGTAAAATTATCTCAGCTCCTGTTGCAGATGGAATTATAGTTCCATTGTAATTTTATATTAGTAGAGTATATCAATAAGTACATTCCATATTTTCAATTAAAGGATAAAGACTCTATGGCAATCCATGGAGTTTCATGGAGTACTATACTCCAGAAAATTTGAAGGGTTGTATAAATTCAGTTTGATTGTATTGCTAAATTGATTTATAAATGACTTAATTAGTTTGTGGTAAATACAGCTGTCAGTGAAAAAAAAAACATTTTGCTTTCATTAAAGACCATTCAGGACAAAAAAAAGGTTATAATTTGGATGGAACTTAAATGTTTTACATCCTTTAGGTGGAATAAAATGCTAAGACTTAGTATTTATCAATTATTTTTACAACAATTATTTCAAAATAAAGCATTTTTTTTTTATAACTGATATTGTAATTATTTTACACCCTTAATTCCAAATGTTGTCATCATACATGCCTTGTACTTACACAGATTAAATTCTCTAATCTGTGGTATAGAGAGGTGACCATCTGTTTCTATAATCTATGACTTTTCTACTCATTAATTACATTACCATCATCTGATGATTCATAGAGTAGTAATATTGTTGTCCTATGTGCCTACACACTCTGCATGAAATGAAGGTGATTTGCAATGAATTATGGGAATTTTTTTAAATAACAGCAAAACTTTCAACTTTAAATTGAAAAATATAAAAAAATTAAATACAAAATAAAATAGTTTTAACATTTAATACTAATAAGCCATTTTCTTCCATAGTTCTGTTTTTATAATTTGGATCCTTCATCATAGAGTAGGATGGCATCTGATATTCAACAGTTTTTTTAACAGCATTATCAGACCATCTAATATTTGCTGTTTGCTTATTTTTGCACTTTTTTGAAATTTCTACATCATGCTACCAATTTGCATGCTGCCAATCTATGACTTTTCTACTCATCCTTAGTACTACATGCAGCATGATGTATGTAGTACTAAGGATGAGTAGAAAAGTCATAGATTGGCAGCAT